AGGCCCGGGTGCGGCCCCAAGACAGAGCCTGAGTTTCGAGGGCTCTGGGGACCTTTGGCACGCCCCCCCCCCCTTTCTGGGCCCTGGGCTCGGGGCCAGACCGCCGTGGGGCTGAGTTGCCTCAGCCCCAAAGGAGGGATTAAGCTCCCACTCACCATCCATAGGCTTTTGAGGCTGGAGGGAGCCTCAGTTCTCCCATCCGTGAAATGGGTTAACCGCAGCTCTGGATGCGATGAGATGTGCCTAGGCCACCCTCGCCCCCATGCTCAGCATATAATGGGTGCTCCGTTTCCTTTCACTTGCTAGGGAAACAGGCGCTCAGTCACCCATGCCTTCTGTCTACACATACGGGTTGCACACCTACGCACCAGGCACGGTGTGAGGCCTGGGGTTATAGTGATGAGTGAGACAGATAAAAGCTGACACTCTCAGGGGAGACCAGCAGTACACAAATACATACACACCGGATAAGACAATGCCTCCGATGGTGGTAGGTGTCAGGGAGGAAAATGCAGGGTGAGGGGAGTTCTGTGGGAGTGGGAGGGGGGGTTCTATTGCAGACTCCGTGGTCCAGGAAGGAAGGTCTTCAGGAAAAGTGCCCTTTGAGCCGAGGCCCGAGTGAAGTGTGGCAGTGAGCAAGGCAGTAGTTGTCTAGGTAGGGGGAGGCCTTTTGGAAAAAGCAAACGGCAGGTGCAAGGCCCTGGCCCCCCTCCTGCCTGCCCCTTATGGGAGACTTCATCTCTCAGGGTCCCGGGCTCCCCTCTCTCCACCAACCTGCAGGAGGGACGCGTGAAGAGTAGACCTGGAGTCAGGCCCGGTTTTAAATCCTGGCCCTGCTGCTCATTAGCGGGGTGACCTTGCACCAGTCACTTAACCTCTCTGAGTGGCAGTTCTCCCCTCTGTCAAATGAGGAGCGTAATGGTGTGTTCCTCAGAGGTTCGTGTGAGGCTTCCGTGAGGTGACACGGGCGTGCGGCAAGCCCCGCGCGGGTGTACTTATGCGCTCAGATGAAGGGCCTGCGGGGTCCCGAGGAAGACCCTGGTTTTCTTCATCTGAAAATTGGGTCTCTCTCTGACTTGGAGTGAAAAGTGGACGTACCCTTTCCCCGTCTTGGTGGTGACGGGGAGACAAGTAGCAGAAGTCGGAGCAGCTTGACAGACTCTGGGAGATGCTTCCCAGTTGTGGTCTGGTGTTGGCCACCCGCTGGGACTCAGGGCCCTGTTTATGTAGAGAGAAGCAGTAGCACACAATCCCCCCCACGCCCCCTCTCCCCGCCCGCATTGTCCAAGTCTCAGCCAGGCATTCAGCTGGGTTCAGAGAAGAAAGCTCAGCTGGTCCAGGTCAGGGCAAAGCCGTGACATTGGTTACGTTCATATTTCATGTCCTGACCCCCTTCCCATCCCTTGCTCTCTCTCCCTGCCACCCTGGCTAAACCTGCTCTTCCTTGGGAACGGATGGAGGTCACATCATCAGACCGGAGGGAGGAGTTCAGTCCTTGGAGCTAGTTCTCCCTCATTTGACACATGGGGAATCCGAAGCCCAGAGAGGGCAGAACTTTTCCAGCGAACACACAGCCGTCCTGGGGTTTGATCCTTTATGCCAGCAGACCTTTGCTCTAAGGCTGTGTCTCCACTGTACTTCAGGCCAAATCCCACCTCTTTTAAAGAAGGAAGGAACCGAGGCTCAGAGCAGTAATATGAATTCACAAAGGCTTCCCAGACCAGCAAGTGGCAGTGGAGAGGAGAGTGTATTCTATTCAGGGGCAGAGGAGAGGTGGGAATCTCCCGGGACCCCTCCAGGGTAAAGTCATTTGGGGAAATCTGTGGCTATTGGCTCCCCCTTCTTATCCCAGGAATCCTCTGTTTCTCCATCCTGAAGGGCCAGCCCAGCAGGTACCCGATGCACATCGGTGCCTTTGTCCGGCTGGCTCCATGGAGAGCCAGCTGTGATGGCTGAGCTGCAGCAGTGCCTGGAGGCCACCGTGGCCAGGCTGGGTACCACTTCACTCTCCCCAGGTCTCTAGACCAATGCCCTGGCAGGAGCTTTATCTCAGACCTTGAACATAGCAGCCAGATCTGGCACCAAATGCCCCTCTTGGCCTGTAACTTTTGCCACCACTTGCAATATGGGACTGCTTTCATTCATTCATTCACTCATTCATGCTTCATTCAACAAGTATTTCTGGAGAGCCTATCAGTGCCAGGCCCTGCTCCACACGTTGAAGGTGGAGCAGCAAACAAGATGATGAGGCCTGGCCCTCTGGAGCTCACCTTCAAGACCAGGGGACAGGCAATCAACAAATTGACACAAAGTATTAGGTCAGATGAAGGTGAAAGGTGAGGGGACAGCGTGTGATGGGGGTGCTCAGAGGCCACCGCGGAGGGCGGGTGCAGAAGTTCTGAAGGAGGGAGCTAAAGGAAGAAAGGGCATGAGGCTCCTAGGAACATGGTTGGCGTTTTCAGCGGACGGCAGGGAAGACAATGTGGCTGGAGTGAGTGGGGGAGGGAGAGAGGACGTGAGATGGAGAGCAGAGGGGCGGGACTGTGAGTGCCCTTGATGGCTCCTGGTCGGCCCGCTTGTTCTGCCCTGGGTGGAGCTGTGCCCTCCTGAGGCAGCCTGGGCATCCTGAGGAAGTGATTACAGAGCGGTCACCCCTATTGGCTTCCCTCCACCCTTGCACCCTCCACCTGCTCTAAAAATCAGGATTAGAAAGAGCAGCAAGGAAGCTGACTTCCCCTGAAAAGAATTTGGAGTCAGAAATCTCTGGATTCCAGACCAGGCTCCACTACTTAGTAACTGCGTGAGTTTGGATGAGCCGCTTAAACTCTCTCAACCTCCACCTCCTATCTGCAAAACAGGGCTAAGCACACCTGCCTACGCAGCGTTAAAAGCTGAGCGTGCCCACCCTCTGGCCCACAGGCGCACTCCTAGGGACGTAAGCGAGGGAAACCAATGCACGTGTGCAAAGGCACGGGCCAGGCGTCCCTGGGGGTTGGTCAGCGTGGCCCTAACGTGGACTCAACTCTGAGTCCTTCAGCAGAAGAACGGCTACATGAGGTCTGGTGATGCATGCGGTGGGGCATACATAACAATACCATCTACAAAGACACTAGTATACGTTATCCCATGAACATGAAGTTCAGGTAAAGCTAATCAATGGTGAAAGTGGTCACCCCTGTGGGGTGCTGACGGGCCGGGGACTGGAGGGAACTTTCTGGCACGCGGTGTTTTATATCATGATCTGGTCAGAGTCGCACAGGTTTATGTGCATGTAAAAGTTCGTTGGACTTGAATTCCATAAACAATTTGAGAGTCGTGTGCGTTGTGCTATGTATGTTATATTTCAATAAAAGGTAAAATGGGGGAAAGTATACTGCCTACATAGCTGGTGAAGGGTAAATGAGACAGATTGGAGTTGTGTCTGTCTCGGAATAGGCCCTTGGGAACATTCCCTGCTTCCCTGGTGCCGCTCTGAGGGACCAGGAGGGCCCTCCAGCGCCCAGGCCCCTGCCTAGCCTGTCCCTCCATGGAACAAACATTAGCTTGGGTCAGACGATGCTGTGCTGTTGGAATTGAGGGATGAAATGGGGCTGGGTCTTTTTTGTGGGGGGAAAGGGGGATTATTTTTCCTGTTGCTTTGTGTTGAGAAAATTCTTGTTTTTATCATTAAATATGGCAACTTACTTGTGCTCAGATCCCCAGGCCTGGTGTGTGCAGAAAACGCTGGAGTGGGAAGCGCTCAGCTTTCCTAGCCTGGGGCCTAATTGATGGCATTGAGAGCAACACACTCTCTCTGCTTGAGGATCCCAGATCCCCTCTGACACGGAGTGGCAGAGCCCCACCCCTCCGCCTCCCATGAGCCCACATACAAACTGCTCCCAGGATCACTCGCTGGGGACAAGGTACCGGTTCCACCTTCCCACCCTGTCCGAAGTCACTGTCCCAAGCCCAGAGAAGGGCGTGACTTCCCAGAAGCCACACAGGAAGTCTGCAGCAGCGTCAAGCCAGACCATGCAGAGGGCAGGGTTGGAGGCGGCAGGCCTGGGCTCGGCCATGCTCTCCCCTCCTGCCCATGGGGGCAAGACCCCTCCTGAGCAAAGGCGGGAGAGTGTGCCCTCCAGCTCTGAGGACAGAGGACATCTATGACAGTAATGGGGGCACTTTTATTATTAACTCGGCACGGAGGGCTGGGCTCCTCTCTCATGTACTGTCCAAGGTGAGTCCCATGGTCTCAGCTCCTTCTATCTCAGGGTCACAATCTAGGATCCACCTGCCCTTGGTGCCACTCCTTGCCTTGCTTCCCATAGAAATATCACAGGCAACCCCTGTTTGCAACCTGCGTGATCTTGGTTTGAATCCGGCTGGCCCGTGCTGGGTGTGCCATGGGCGTGGCCTGAGGGAGACTCCAGAGATGAATGGGGCCCACCCCGGGGCCAGTACAGACTCTGTTTCTCCCTTTTGACCTCCTCAGGTGTCAGTTTCCATGTAACCTTGCCCCACCCCAATCCTCTCTCCTCGCCTGTTCTGCTTCCTCGCCCCCCACATCACTGGCTTGTAGTTACCTGTTGATTGGTCTGCCTTTTCCCTCAGGACTGTACGCTTCCCGAGGGTAGGAGCTGTGCCTCTTTTATTCACCACGGGGCCCCTGGAGTCTGGCACAAGGAATAGTCGATCTTTGAGAGAAGAATGAGTGAATGAGTAAGAGCTGCTCTGGCGGAGATATAGACAGCAGGGCAGGCAGGGCTGATTCCGGGGTGTGTGTGCATGTGTGTGTGTGTGTGTGTGTGTGTGTGTGTGCCACTTGCGCTGAGCCTGTGGTTGCACAGGTTTCAGAGGGAGCTGGCTGGGGGAGTGGAGGGCAGGAGGACTCTTTTGAAGCCTAGGCACCTGGGAACGCAGGCTCCCCTGTTATGAGCGAGAGGCCTGCCTGTGAAAATGTGTGCAGTCCCCGCACTGGTGAAGGGTCCTGGGCCCACAGGACCGGAGACCTGGGTCCCCACAGCGCTCCACGCGGAGCCAGGAGAGCATTCCTCCTCGCAGAGAGGGAAGGAGCCCAGGCCTCTCCCTCCAGGCACACGGGCCCTGGGCCGGGGACTCTCCCTGTGGCTTCTCTCCCCGGAGGCCCTAGAGAGCCTCTAGCCCAGGCCTCAGGGAGAGCCAGAGGCCTGCCCTGGGCCACACAGCAAGAAGCAGAGCTGGAACGCACTCCAGGCTGGGACTTGGTCTAGGCCTGGGGCCTCCAGCACCCCCACACCCCCTGCCTCCTCCAGCCTACCATGTGTAAGGGCCTTATTCGGGTTGGTCAGCACAGGGAAGGCAGCCCCAAACCTGGACCTCACACTCTCCCTGCAGTTAACCGGGGAGCCCACGTCCCCCTGCGTCTCCGGGAGCAGGACTGTGGTGGACAGCGGAGGCGGAGTCTCTCTTGGCGGTGCCCGCAGCCCACACCTGCTCACCTGAGCCGCGCTCAGGACGCTGTGAGGCCTGACTTCAGAAACGACGCCCATTCTCTGGGCCTTGGCAAAGGTGACTTCTGACCCCCCCTCAGACTGGAGGTTCTGCTCATGGACCTCAGGTCTCAGCTCTGCGGCCCTTTGGGCCCCCGGTTGGCTCTGTGCTCCCCTGTACACCTCCGACTCCCGCCAGGCTCTCTAGTCTGGGGGCGGGGTGGGGGGGGGTGTCTGGGCTAGGTCAGGGCAGCTAGATCCCTAGCGCCCTCTTCCTGGAAGTTCCCAGGGTCATGGGCTGTGTCTTATTTGTCCCTGTGTCCTCTGTGCCCACCTTAAAGCCTGGCATCGAGTGGGCTCTTGTGACACGAAAGAGGTGGCTCAGGATGTCATTTGAGGGGCTCTAGGAAGAGATTCTAGCCACCCGGCCCTGCCCCCCAACTCCCCAGGAGCCACAGTTCTGGCATTCCAGTGGGAGAGGCACATTCCTTGACGGTCTCTTCCTGGAAATAAATCAGAGTATGAGTGTGTTCTTCTCTTGGGCCCGGAGGCCCGAGGAGAGGGGGCTGCCAGCCTGGTCCCCGCCTCTGGAAGAGAAGGGCTGAGATCCCGGGGAGGCGCTGACCTCTGGGGACAGGCGTGGGCTGCCGGGCCCTTGGGGCTGGTGAGAATAGCAGGGCTTGTCTGGGAGGGAGCCTCCGACAGACGCTTTATCAGGCCCTGTCGCCAGCGTTATCTGTGGCTTCTCAGCAAAGAAGGAGCCACAGTCCTCAACCAGCCTCAGACCACTCCAGGCCTGGAACAAAGCAGCCGAGTCAGCTGGCAGCACCACGGTTCCCCGGCTCCGACCGTGGGCTCCGCAGCCTCGGGGCCCACGTGGGGTGTTCAGGGGGTGACTGGCCCAGCCTGGCGACGGCCCGTCTGCTGGGACTCCCCCGCCGAGTGCCCGCCGCCACAGGACCACCTCCCTGGGGCCTGTCTGGAGAATGTGGATGGGGCACCGGGTCACCCGGCCCCTCCAGGGCCTCGCCGAAATGTCAGCCACAAAGGACGGGAGACAGAGGGCCCTGTCCAGGAACAAGGGCCAAGTGTTGGTGTGGGCTGAGGGCTGGGGCTGGGCTGGTCAAATGTTTACTTGGAATGGTTTGAGTGGGCACCCTCGGGCCACAGGGGCAGCTGGCGCCTGGCATGGAGCCTGTCTACCCACCACCATGGGGCACTGCAAGGATTCAGACCCATCCCAGATGGGCACACATCCAAAGGCACCCAGAGGGACTGCCAGCCGAGGCCTTGGCATGGTCACTCCCTCCCAGGCCCTGCCCGCTGTGGGGAGAGAAGGAGCTAGGCGGGCTGGCTGAGCCCCTCGTTCTGGAAGCACCTGCTTCTCTGGCTCCCTGCGGGCGGCCATGCCTGGTTGGGCAGGTTGTGCACTCGCCACGGAAGCAAGTGGGCCCCAATACTCGCCGCTGGGCAGGAGCTGCCGCAGCCAGAGGGTGCTTTTTTGCAACTGTTTGCTAGGAAGGGGCCGCTCTGTGTGGTGGGCGCTTGGGGACATTAACATGACAGGTTCTCTTGGTAGGTGCTCATGATTTCTTAGGGGTAGGTTGCCAGATAGAATACAGGGCTCCCAGTTGGATTTGAATTCAGCTAAATCAGTGGTTCTCAACCTTCTGGCCCTTTAAATACAGTTCCTCATGTTGTGACCCAACCATAAAATTATTTTCATTGCTACTTCATAACTGTAATGTTGCTACTGTTATGAATCGTAATGTAAATATCTGATATGCAGGATGGTCTTAGGCGACCCCTGTGAAAGGGTCGTTCAACCGCCAAAGGGGTCGCGACCCACAGGTTGAGAACCGCTGTGCTAAATAATGACAAGTTAAAAAAAAAAAAAAAAAGGTAGCCCTGGCTGGTTTTGCTCAGTGGTTTGCAGACCGAAGGGTTTAGGTTTTGATCCCCGCCTCTGGTTGGGGCGCCTGTGGGAGGCAACCAGTTGTGTCTCTCTCACACTGATGTTTCTCTCTCTCTCCTCTCCTCTCTCTAAAGATCAATGGAAAAAGTATCCTCGGTGAGGATTTAAAAAATAAGTAATTATGTCCCATGTAATATTGCAGTGTCATGAAGGGTTGATGAGATCTGGTCATATCAGACCTCGCTCCACCCCCCACTCCTACCGCCACCCCCACCCCACCCGCACAAAGGGCCCTAGGGGTGTGAAGGAGAGTGAGGGAAACGGAAGTGTGGCTGGAGGGGAGCCTGAGAGGTAACAGGCGCGAGATGGAGCCTGGACTCGGAGGCCCGGGTACTTTGAGTGAGATGGGGGTCCTCTGGACTGGAGGGATTGAGCCCAGGACTCATGTGGGAACAGGCTCCCTCTGGTGGCCGTGTTGAGAATAGGCTGGAGGGTCATGGCCCAGGCTGGCTGACCTGTGAGGTCACTGCAGCCGTCCAGGTCAGTGAGCAGGCCGCCGGAGAGAAATGGCTGATTCTGGGCATAGGGACTGTTTGTTATGGAAAACGGCAAGCACGCACAAATAGTACAGGGAACTCCCGTGTCCTCAACACCCACTCCAGCCATCATCAGCTCATAGCCAGTATTGTTTCAGGGAAACCTTTCGTCCCTCCTGGAACCTGGATTATTTTGAACCCAGATATGGTATCATTTCATCCATAAATATGTCAGCATGTGTCACGAAAAGATAAGGCCTGGAAAAGAGTTTGAGGCAGGTGCTACCAGGAATTTGCTCAAAGGCCCCATGAAGCCCATGGCTGTCAGCTCCCCACCTCTCCTAAAGCTTTCTAGTGATTCTCTCCTCAGGCCTTCTCTCTCCCGCCCCTCTGTCTGCATCGTCTCCTAGCATGAGGCTCCTCCGTCTGGGGTCTTGGGATGCTGGCATGGACTCCCCATTGGATACTCCTGTCTTCTCCCCAGACCTCACAGCCACCCCAAACCTCTCCTTTTTCTGGTCACTTGATTACAGGATTGTCCAGGGTCTGGCACAGAGGTTTCCTATTCTCTCACAAAGACCACCACCCACTGGGAAGTCAGGAAATGCAGGCACCCTAGAGGAATGTGGGGGGAGCTCCTGGGAAGTCAAAGAATGAGGTGCAAGGACACAGATTCAGACATAAAAACTCTAATAGGGAGGCCCTTTGCTTTCCTGAAGGCCACCCCCTCCAGGAAGCAGCCGGGCTCTGCCTCTGATTTACTGGGAGCCTTTGGATCGGTCCCTTCCCTCTCTGGGCCTGGTCATGCACATTTCTACCGGCTCCCCTCCTCTCAGATCTGCCTCCCCAGCGTTCCTGGGATGGAAGAGCTGAGGGGCAAAGCTGGACCTGGGAGAAGCTGCCGGGAACATGCCGACTCGACCCAGCTACGCCCACACACTAATGGCCAGAGTAGTCGCACTTTACAGGAGAGGAGGGTGAAGGGCAGGAAGGAAAGACACGTCATTAGGGTCCCCCAGTTTGTAGGCAGTGCAACCAGGACTTGAGTCCAAGGCCAAATCCTCAGAGTGGGTGCCCAGGTGTCTCCAGGTTTTTGAGGCCCCACCCCTGGGCGGGGGCCTCCTCAGCAGGCCCAATAGGCCCAAGCAATCTGGATTCCTACCCCTCAGCCCCTCAGAGCCTCCTCCGTGTGGCTCTGGAAGGTGGGCTCACCTTCCTAATTGGTTCATTTTCACTCACCAAGATCCTCCTGCCGGCTGGGCTCAGTGGGCACCAAGCACACTAATGCATTTCTCTCCTTTAAGCCTCACAACAGCTGAGTAGAGTGCTATGACCATTTTACAGATGTGAAAATTGACGCTCAGAGAGGTGCAGTGAGCTGCCCAATGCCACGCAGCTCTGCAGTGGGAAAAACAGGGTCGAAACCAGAGATCTCTGACTCTAAGTGCTCCTTCCCTTACATTGCAAGAACTGGCGTAGACAGTACATGTCTAATAACCCACTGCCATTAGGTTGTCCTGGCTTCAGGCATCCTTTTTGCACATAACTCCTCTGTCCTGTTTCACCTGCTGGTATGTGCTCACACTGACCTTTCTAATAACCGTGGGAGGCAGGTATGCCGTCCTCTCAGCCTTTACAAGTGAAGTGCCACACATGCCCCTGGGAAGACTGTGTTTTGAAACTTCCTGAAATTTCCCAAGTCTTGTTATCTTCCCTAGAGCTGCCCACCAATACTTATGTTCTTCTAGCGCCCCCTACAGCCCGTCAACGACATTGAATCGCCCTGCTGGGTCCTTTAGGACATTTTTCTTGAAAATTGTTTTTTCCCTTTTTAACCCAGTACCTCCCTCCGTTGGCACATCTGGGCCCTCCCATCACAAGTTTGGACCCACCTTGTCCCTTCTTGCTCCTCATACGTAGCAATAGTTAGAGCAGGTTTACCTCTGTAACTTCGTCTTCAAGAAACCATGATATTATTAAGTCTCAAAACATCGGGGAGGTCGTCAAGCTTGGGAACCACAGAATGAGTCTGGTTTTCCCCAGTCTGGGAACCCTTGGGGTCCGGTCAGTGTTACCCCATCAGGTTAGACTAAGGGTCTTCCAGGACAGGGACTGTGTCTCCCCTATAGCACCCACCCATGGGGACAGGCCCTTCAGGGCAACGACTGATGCAGTGACGGGGAAGAGGTGGCTCTGGGCTCTGCCCACCAGTGAGCCGGCTTCAGCAATTACCCTCTTGGGGCTGATCTTGTTTCATCATCCCACCCTCCACCATGGCCAATTTTTTTTAAAGCAAATCCTGGCTGTCTGTGGGGAGCTGATATAGGGTTAAGCCTCGGACTGACCTGTGGGCAAAGTCACAAACAATTCCCAGCTTAGAGGGCACAGTCCTCTTAGCATAATTAGGCTTGACCTTATGAGGCTCCCTAGATCTTATCTGGGAAGCTAATGGGCTGAGGGAAGTGCAACAAGAACAAAAACAAGTGAAACTCACAAGAAC